AGGGCATCTCTGAAGGAGTTGGTTTCGGAGCCACCGATGACGTTGTCGGCGGTAAAAATGATGGCTTCGGAAGCAAATCGCTTCTTCGCCATTCAAATTTGAAGCTCGACAATTTGAATTCAAATTTGAGCTCCCAGTTTTCGATTTCGGAGCTGCTTAGCTCTGTTGTGATCGGCATGAACCACAGCGACGTGCCGCCGACTCGCTTCATACTGGATCTGTTTGAGGTGGCGCCATCGACATCAAATGGACTGGCGCTGTACAAACGGTACGACAGCAAAACAGTTTGTACGACATGCTGTAGGGGACATGGTTAAAAAATTTCATTTGCATCTATAAGCGCATAATACCGAACTATTTGCATTACAATTTAATTCTGTATATATGTATGTATGTGTGCATGTTTGGAAAGGAAGCTGAGACCCAACCCAACCCAGGCCTACACGCCCGCTGTTAATACCCTAAAACCCTAAAACCCTCCCACGTAACTGTCAACCGTCATGCAGGTACTGGTTTTTTGCCAACCTCCAACTGGCCATTCAGAAAGCGGTTACTGGGATACATGTAGCAGCAAATTCAAATGAAGCGCCGCCGCCGTCAGCGCCGCTGACGGTGGCGCCGCCGCCGTCACCCTTACATGCGATGACGACGGACCAGGCTGCCGTATTCGCCGCCAGCCAGCGGAAACCACTTTCATCACATTCATCGTCTTGGGTCGGTGCGGGCAACCCGTACGACAATGCCGTACCAGCCAACGTGGAGGTGTCGTACAAGGCTTTCCCTTGGCCAGCGGTCACAGAGGACCTGGGAGCTGCCCTCGCTGCCGTATTCTTCCAACTGCTGCTGGTACGGGAAGATGAATTGCAGTACATTGAAACAGATATTGGTGCCGTACAGTGTTTCCAACGTCCCTGAAGCCCACCAACGAAACCCACGCAAACTCTCCTGACGCACCTCCCCTCCTCTCCCCCGCATGTGCCGTACCTTTCCCCTCTCCCCCCTACCAATTCCCTCCCGAAAAGAACCACGTTTTGATTGGTTGCTCGTGTTAAGTGTTTTTCATTTATTTTGCATATATTCGTCCCCCAAACCTCCAACCGCCAACCGCTAACCTACGAAACCCGACGTGGTCAGGTGTTTGCCTTCCTGTCGCCCACTTGTGCCGTCGTGGGAGACATTGTACGGGAGAAAGAGCTGCGGCTGAGAGAGGGAATGCGTGTGCTGGGTGAGTGTGTTTTGCGGCGTGTGAGGTTTGGGTTTCGTCGGTTCCCAAACCCCCTCAGTTTGCTCCTTGTTTCCTTGAATATGATTCCCGCTTCCCGGGAATTGTTCCCCCGCCCCCAGGGAGTTGTTCTCCGGGGAGGGGGGGGAGAGAAGCGTGAGGGGGACTTGTGGGGCCTGGTTAGTTGCGGGGTCTCGGTGTGTGTGTGTGTGGGGGGGGGGGGGGACGATAGCAGGTGTGGGCATTTCGTTTTGGGGCTGCCGTAGCTGTTATAGCTTAAGAAAGTCGTTTTGGGGTAAGCGAGCATGTGTACGGCAGTTAACTGTGGTTACATTGTACGGCAAACGTGGAGAATGTGCGCGTGGTGTATTTGGTTATGAGATTGGGGGCTCCCGGGGGCTTGGGGCGGGGTTGGGGCGTGTGTGTATGTGTGTATGTATGTGTGAAGTTGGGGCGTGTAGCAAAGAAAAGAAGCTAAGCGCATTATGCGTGATGGTTTTTCTTTGCAATCTCGTACACTTTGTCGTACAGGTCTGACCGAGCCGTCGTACTGGTTATCATGGGGACTCACCCACTGGCTGCTTCTCGCGCTCAGCGGCGCGCTGTGTACGGCAGCCGGCACGTATCCCTTTTCCAACAGCAGCGCGGGCGCCATGCTGACCTATTTTTGGCTGTACGGCGCAGCATTGGTGTCGTACGGCTACTGCCTGTCGACACTCTTCAGCAGTAGCCGAGTGGCGGGCACTGTCGTAATCTTGATGTACACGTTGTCGATGCTTCCGGGTTTCGTACTGCCGGTGGTGAGTGGGATTCCCCTCTTTCCGCCGGGGTTAGGGTTGTGCTGCTAGATTCTAGTACAAATGCCGTACACAGCTGCGTACGGCAGGACGTTGTCCATTAGTTCGTTGGTACAACTAAAGGATGGTATGTCTGCTCAGGGGGGAGAGGACTGAGGTCTGTGTATGCTTAGGGGGATGATGTGTGAAACAGGGGGGTTATATCTTCACCCGTGGCAGCAACCCGGCGAAACCCTGCCTTGCCCGGATGTATGTATGTATGTATGTACACGTCGAGATGCACCAATCACATTCGCAGGTGTATCCGTACGGCAGCTGGACCTGGTACGTGGCCTGCCTAGCACCCCCCTCCGCCGCTACTCTGTATGCGAATGTACTGATCAACTGGGAGCTGGTAGCGAAAGGTACGGCAGTGTACGACAGAGTACGGATTTTGTGTGATCTCGTACACATAACTGGTTATACCTGGGCCGTATGTCTGGTGGTAGGCTGGGGGGAGGTGAGGGGTAAGGTGAGTCGAGGTGGCGGTGGGAGGGGGGAACCCAGGGTTGGGTTTGGATCTTGGTTCTTTGGATCTTGAATTTCAAAATTTTCGGATCTTGACTGGATGCATTCCGCTTGATTCGACTGGCGCATCCAGGATAAATTGAATTAAATGCCCAATGTCCTATTTAGGAGCTTTTCCGAAGAGAGAGAGTGTGTGTGTGTGTGCGTGTGTGCGTGTGTGCGTGTGTATTGGGGCGGGAAAAGCTGTTACAGTGGGCCTCATGTGTCGTGTGAAGAGATGATAGAGCCAGTGCGGGCCGTGCATTACCGCCCGTAATGAGACAGGCGGCCACGGCTGCCAAGACACCCACCAAGACCAGGAAAAAAACAAGTCGTCTAGACAAAAGTGATAATCCAAAGAAACTTTCTTTCCAGCAGGTCATAAAACGTTAAAAACACACGTACACACACGTGCCAATACACACCTCCCTGACCTCCATATCTCCCCTCCCGTCTCCCCTCCCCCTCCCCCTCCCCCCGACACACACACACACACACACACACCTCACTCACCCCCTCACCTCTCCCTTTTCCCCCCCCAGGCATTCGGCTATCTACTCTCTGGACGCCCATCACCCAGACAAACGGCTTCTGTGCTGCAACCGTACTGTGGATGCTGGCACTAGATGTCGTACTGTACGGCATACTGGCGTGGTACCTGGATAATGTATGATGTGGAGGCGGGCTGATGGGGATGTCCGGGGCGGGGGGGAAAGGGGGGGATCGGGGAGGGGGAATGGAGGTATGATGGATGCAGGGGTCGGCAAACGCCGCTGGTACAGCGGGTCCTTCCGTTGTACCCGTTGCAGAAAATCATCATCGCTGGTACGGCAGCCGTACGGCAGGGTGCAGAAATTCCCCCCCAAAGGCAGGTTTGCGCAGTAATTGGGCGCAACAAGACAACTGTGGCTTTAACAGCGATGGTGTAACGTAGTAAGTTTGGTACATCGGCCCGCAGACGCTCTTTCCTCGGCTTTTACCACAAAAATTTCCATACAGTTATTCGACCCTGGCACCAGTACCCGTGACAGTTATTCAGGGTTTGCCGACCTCTGGATGGATGTGGGGAGTAGAACGGTGTGAAGCTTTTTAGTCTCTTGATGTGTTGGTGTGTGAACCTAGGTCGGCATGTTCGTACGTGCCGTACCGGATAAGTTATTTCAAACGGTCCCAACGACGTTGCCCTGCCGTGCATTCCCCAGTGGCACGTGCGCACCTTCCACCGTAACTTATAACTGTACTTATAACTGATGAGAGCGTTGTCGTACAACCTGCCGTACAGGTACTGCCGAAATCGTACGGCCAACGCTTGCCCTGGTGGTTCATTTTTGACCGGCGCTACTGGGCATCGAAAAGGGGTGGAAGGGCTGACGGCGGCGGCGGTGGCGGCGGCGGCGGCGGCGGCAATTCCGGGGGAATGGGGAGTTCAAACGGTGGCGGCAGATGGCGGCGGTTGCGGTGGTGGCTGCTCGACTTGAGGAAGGCCGTGACATGGGTTTGGCGTGGCAACGGCGGCGGCGGCGGTGATGGCGACGGCAATCCATCACTTTTCAGTAAGTACGACAACTTCAAAATCCCCAGAGAACAAGTTCTATGCGGTTCGCCCCATATTCTCATGATTCATGTTTCCGTCATGGACGCACAAAAGCGGTTATAGTTTTTTATTCTTAATTTTTTAGTGGTTACTTCCTACACAACCGCACACACACATACGCACACACACATACGCACACACATTTATCTTTAAGACACGCCCCTTCTCGCCGTCACCTCACCCATCTCAACCTGCCGTACAAGGGCCCCTCCTCGGCAGCAGCCGCGGAGACGGCGGTATCAATGATGGCGAATGCCGTACTTCCGTACTGCCGGTTTCGGAGCGAGACAGCCGTCTTCACGGGATGCTGCCGGCTGTTGAGGTTCGCGGGCTGGTCAAAGTCTTCCAGACGTTGACCGGGGAGGACAAGGTAGCGGTTGACCACTTGGACTTGCAGGTACGGCACAGTAACCTCACTTGTACGAAATGAAGTTCAGTGAAATGTTCGTACTGCTTAAGCGGTCATAAGCCGACTGCCCTGCGCTGCCCCCTTCCGTCCTTCCGCACCTACCTACATCCGCTGGTTTTTCAGGGTTTTAGGGTTTTACAGTTTTAGGAAAGGGTTTTACAGTTTTAGGGTTTTAGAGGAGTCATAACCCTATATAACTTCTGAAACCCGCACTCCCTTCCCCCTCTCACGCTAAATCTTTTTCCGTTCTGGCTTCCGTACATCATACTACACTATACGGACGGAAAAGATTGCGAGTGGGCGCATTACGGCATTACTGGGCCACAACGGCGCAGGTGCGGTTGTTGGTTGGTTAGTTTGCTGTACAGCAACTATATTAACGGTTACTCCAAGCCAGTAATACGATGAAATTCGGACCTGCAGGGAAGACAACCACCATCCACATCCTCACTGGAATGCTACAACCAACCGCCGGCAGTGCAACCGTCAACGGTTTTGACGTTGCGACCCAAATGGATCTGGTACGGTCTTCGTTAGGCATCTGCCCCCAGTTCGACATCTTATGGCCTGACCTGACAGTGTACGAACATCTGGAGTTGTACGGCGCGATCAAGGGCTACCTGCGAGTGGAGATCCCCGAGGTGCGTGTGCGTGTACGTGTGTGTGAGGGGGGTTAATAAAAACGTGATTGCGTTTGCAATGACGAATGGGGTAAGGGGCGGGTTTTGTGTGTGGGTTTTCCTTGTCGTACTCTCTACTTTCCTTATCCGTTCTTGCCGCCGGCATTCCACACGCTCTTTTACGCGCGCTCTCCCTTCCTTCCTCGGCCGGCTTGCCACCGCGGCCGCCAGCGTCATCGTTGCCAGAAAATGAGCCACCACATATAGCACATACCAAACTCAAAACACATGCAATTCCGTGCGCCCCCCTCCCCCCGCCCCCCCCCCCTTCTCACCTGCCACCCTTTTCCTTTGCCCCCGGGCGGTGAAGGGCAAAAGAAGAGCCGTGTACGCAGTTGTACGACAAAGCCCGCCCAACTAACACAACGGTTCATTTTTCTGTATTCACCCTGCCAATCCGTCTTGCCAACTCTTGCGTTTCCCTCTCTCCCCCTCTCCCGCCCTCCCTCAATACCCCCCTCCCGCCCCGTCGGGCAGTTGGCCGCCGCCGCCGCTGCCAAAGTGGGCCTTACGTCCAAACTCCACTCCCTAGCTGGAGAGCTCAGCGGCGGGCAGCGCCGCAAACTTAGTGTGGCCATTGCTTTTTTAGGCAACCCCGCCGTCGTGTTCCTGGTAAAGGTTTTTCGGTTTAGTGACCCTAATTTCCTAATAAAGACACAAGGGACGCGGGAATGAAAACTAAAGCAGAAGCTTGCAAGAGCATGACGAGAGCTTCCAAGTAGCGATGTATGGGCTCGAAAATTTTGAAAGTTGAAAGAAAATTTGTTGTTTTCAACGGTTTGCAGTACTATAATACGTACTATTACTTCTACACCTGCAGGACGAACCTACATCGGGCATGGACCCATATAGCCGGAGGTAGGTTATGTATTGCGTCGTACATGTATGTACGGCATGGCTTTTCGTACTGCATGCCAAACAGCGTTATTTTGTGGTACTTTTAATTGCTCTGGGATATGCTTACATGTTGTGCAAAAGTTATGCCTGTGTATGTGTATCTGTATCCGGATTGGCCTGTGAATGGCAAACCTGAATTCTCGAAGTATGGTCGTACTGTCGTACTATCGTACAGGTTCACGTGGGAGGTCATCCGTCAGCACCGATCCGAATCCGCCATCGTACTCACCACACACAGCATGGAGGTATGCGGAATTCCAAATCCAAGCTTAGCCGGATCTGAACCACATCGAATTCCGGACAATATCAGATCATCTATTATGTTTCATGTGCTTTTCATGTGGGGTTTAGGATGCACTCGATATATATTTACAAACATACAATCTGTAATTACAGATATAAATGTAGAAAGATAAACAAATTGAAATCAGATAGATACGCAGATAGAGGTTCTGTTCACGACCACCTTCCTAAAGCTACTCCTTTGTTTTGTCAGGTTATGTTGCCATGTTGTCCTGTAACAGTTGTCAGTTGTCAGTTTCAGTTTCAGTTTCAGTTGCCGCTTTCTGCGCAGTTCATTAAAATAGGGAAATGAACTCAGCTTGTACGCGCGTACACACGTTCGTACACACGTTCGTACACACAGGAGGCGGACCTCCTAGGGGACCGAGTTGTGATCTTGGCTCGAGGGAGGGTGGCGGCGCAGGGAACCGGCATGGAGCTGAAGGTATGTACGGCACTTTCTTCGTGTGTTTAGTGTTTCTTTTGTCCTTCCCTTTCCCCCTCCGCGCCAAGAAGTTTGGTCTCAGGTTGACTTCGCTGTCAGTCGGTGCTCTGGTTCTAACGTTCTTGGTAGCAATGGCAATTGATTGTATTTTGTGTATTTTGTGTATTTTGTGTATTTTGTGTATTTTGTGTATTTTGTGTATTTTGTGTATTTTGTGTATTTTGTGTATTTTGTGTATTTTGTGTATTTTGTGTATTTTGTGTATTTTGTGCAACTACTTTTTTCATTTGCTTTCCTTCGTTTGCTTTATGCACTATGATCACCACCTAAGACTGTATTGCCTTTATCCCCTTTGTCCTACACTATTATTAGTCACATCATGCAGCAGAATCCGTCTCTATCGTACCTTTTTTCGTCAATCGCCTGTGCTCTGAGGTCTTATCCTCCTCCTCCTCCTCCTCAGGCAAATTACGGCGTCGGCTATAACCTCACCTTGGTCGTGGCGCCCCGTCAGCACCAGCACCAGCACCAGCACTCGCAGCTGCCAGGGGGAAAACCTGCCACAGCAGCCGAACCAGCACTAGCACAAGACAGCGCTACTGCTAGTGCTACTGCCCCTGAAGCAACGGCGGCGGCGGCGGCGGCCGGGACTCCGCCATCACCTGAGGCGGCCGTTATGGCAGTTGTACGACGGCATGTGCCGGCAGCTGATCTGTTGAGTGCCGCCGGCGCGGAGGTTGTCGTACGTCTGCCGCGGGAGGCAACGTCGTCGTTTCCGGCGTTGCTTCGGGAGTTGGACGGACCCGTGGGTCGGCAGCAGCTGGGAGTGGCCAGCTACGGCCTTTCGCTGACGACATTGGAGGTCCGTGGGGGGGTTGGGGTTGGGGGGGTAAGCGGGGGTAAGGGGGATGTGAGGGGGGGTAAGACGAGACACTGGTGAATGGAGCAGATACCAAAGGCGGGTGGGGTGAGGGTGAGGGGGTTCCGGGGTTTGTGGGAGGGTGGCTTAGTTTGTGGGCACGTGCTGTTGTGTGTGCACGGCCTTTTGTGTGCCTGTTTTTCTTTGTGGTTTTTTTGTGTATGTCGATTCACACTTGTGTGTGTCTGTCTGTGTGTCTGTCATGTATGATGGTGTTACAGGGTGGCATAGCGTCACCAGCGGCCCCCTTTCCCGAGGCAGTTCCCTGCTCTCCCCTGCGAGAGGGGCACCCTAATCCATTCACCCCACCCGATTTCAGAATGTATTTGTTGGGTACAGCAACTCACCACCAGCATCCAACCAAATCTGGTGGATCAACGGCGCCACAACTTAGTTCCTGGTCAGCTCGCAAGTTGATATAATCACGTCCTACACCGTCCATATGATGGGGGGCCACCTCCCATTTCATCACCCCTCACACACCGAGGGGTCGGCAGGCGGATTTGAACCCGGACACTCTGGGAGCAGAAGTCAGGCATTAACTTCTGCCAGCCACCTGCCTGTTTTGTTGTATGTGCGTGTATTCGGCAACAGCAAAACGTGGGGGGTTCCTTAAGTGTCTGTTTGTCCGTATGTTTGTCCGTATGTCCGTATGTCTGTATGTCCGCGAGTATGTCAGTCTGTCCGTTTGTCCGTATGTTTGTCTCCCAATTTGCGTCACCGTTGGACCCAACATCACCTTCCCCACCAACGCCGTGATGGCACATTAGGGGCAATGTGCGGCATGTCCCGCTGATGCATATGTATGTGTGTGTACCTATGTACGTATATACGTGCGTACGAATTGTTTACGTGACTACGTCATCCCATTCCGCTCACCGCCCGCACCGCACCTCCCACACGCCACCTCCCATCTCACCTCGTAGGAGGTATTTTTAGCCATCACAGCGGCGGCGGAAGAACAGCAACAGCAACAACAACAACAGGGGCCACCGCAGCCGCCGCCGCCGCCGCCGGTGCATCCAGCGCCGTTGTACGGCTGGCGGCTGTACGGCCAGCAGCTGCGGGCCCTATTTACCAAAAGGGCCCTATGCGCTCGACGTGACCGTCTGGCAGTGCTGACTCAGGTAGCGGTTCCGTTAGCGCTGGTGTACCTGGCGTTATGGATCAGCAGTTTTCAGGTACGACAATACAACGGTATGACGGTACGGCGGAATTTAGACTGTACTGCAGCAAAAGGATGTTCAGTGCCCTTTGTTCCCGCGCATTTTCACGACCAATTGACCAACCTATCCTTAGTTTCAATTTGGTGATGTGTCCCAACGCCGCCAACGGTTGCAACCGACAACTGCTATATTGCAAACGGCGCATGCTGCTGAGGACAATTTGCAATTGTACGGCTATTGGCATGCAGGTTCGGGAAACCAGTGAGCCGCCGCTGGAGCTGTCCCGCCGTACGGCACTCTTCGGCAGGCCGCTGGCTTGGTCGGCCTCGCCAGCAGTCCGTAATGCAAGTGAGGGCTGTAGCGGCGGCGGCGGCGGCGGCGGCAGCAGCAGTCGCTGCCTGGCGGCGTTCTTGGCCAGTCATCCAGCCGGTGCCCGGGCTGTCGATAGTGGCGCCACGGCGCCGTACAACCCCGGTACGACAAGGATCAAATTTTGGAGCAGTACAAAATTGGCAAACACATGCATAGGTTGGAAACGTAATCACCGCGCCGTCCCGATCTACTGGACATTTACCCATTTCTTGTTTTTTTGGCCGGAAATCTTAAAGATTGGCGCATTTAGGTAGGTGCTTAAATTTTTTTGTTGTTGGCGTTCGACTTGTGGTTTACTGTTGTGTCCATCGTACGACGCTATATGTGTGGCCACTCCCAAGGCAGTAACCGAAATTTGCCGTACCAAGCAGTTGGACAGTTATAACAGTTGTGAAACGCAACGTACAGGTGACCCAAAGGCGAGATCCACGACGCTAGAGGACTACCTGGTACGGCACTGGTACGGCGGCGACGTCGGGCCCGTGTACGACGCACTCCACATCACCAGCCTCCCGCCGCCGGCAACCCTCGCCGCTGCGCTGCTGCCGCCGTCGTCACCGTTATCGCCGCCGCCGCCGCAGGCGCCACTTTCGTTCGTACTGCTAACCAACCAAAGCGCCATATCAGCTCTGCCTGCCGCGCTCGCCGACGCGATGACGGCGGTGTTGTCGTACATAAACGGCGGCTTGCAGCCGCCAGCCGTCGCTGCGCCGGCGGAGCCGCCGCCGTCTTTCTCTGCCGTCAGTTGGCCGTTGCCTATTTTGGAAACTGAGCTGGTGGCGCAGATAAAGCGGGACGCTGCGAGGTTGATGCTGGTGCTGTGCTTGCTGCTCGCGAGTAGCGTACTGTCGGCTTCGTTTGTGGTCTTTATCGTCAGGTGCTAATAATTTTAGCTATAAGTTGTTGTCGTTGTTGTTGTTGTCGTTGTTGTTGTTGTTGTTGTTGTTGTTGTTACAGAGTGGGAGGCTTCTGGGCCACTACTAGTGTAATGCTTTATTTGAAGAATGTCAGATTCTGTTGGTAGTTAGGTAGTTGGTGCGTGGTTATGGGCAGCGGTTGACTCGCATACCGGGAGGTAGGTAATGGGCTTAGGGGATTAGGAGCCAAGGTGTGGACTTGTGTATCCATCTGTCTGTCTGTCTCCCTGTCTGTCTGTCTCCCTGTCTGTCTCCCTGTCTGTCTCCCTGTCTGTCTGTTTGCTTGTATGTCTCTCTGTCTGTCTGTTTGCTTGTATGTCTCCCTGTCTGTCTGTTTGCTTGTATGTCTCCCTTCCTTCCTCACGTAGTGCCGTATAGACAGAGAGACAGACAAACATAGTGTCTCGTACACGCAAATGCCTCCCTGCTGTACACCGTACGATCTGTGTCGTACTCCTTGCACTTTCAGGGAGCAGGACAACAACTCTAAGCACTTGCAGCTGGTCAGCGGCGCTCCTGCTACAGCTTATTGGGCCGCCAACTTCTGCTGTGACTTCATCAGCTACAGCCTGTCTGCCGCCGGGCTGCTAGCGCTGATTGCGTCGTACAGGCTACCGCAGTACAGCGGTCAGCGTCTGGCGGCAGTAGCTGGGCTATTGTGGGGCTTTGGACCCGCGGGCATCAGCCTGACCTACTTGCTACACTTCTTTTTCCGGGTACGTGCACAGCAATTTCATAACAGGGTACGGATGTACGGTGTCGTACACAAACTTTCCACCAGAACTCACTCACACTCCATTTCTTTGGCAGGTTTGATGTTATTGTTCATACATAGATACGTTGTTCGTACCGTACCGTACTGTACGACGCAGGACGAAATGCGTGCTCTACAGCGGCTTAACACCATCTATTTCCTGACGGGTTATTTAGGATTCGTAGCGACTTGGATTGCTGACCTGATATTAATGGTGGTGCCGCGATCCGGCTCTTCGCTGGCGTCCTGGAATCGTGCGGCCAAAGCAACGCTTCGCACCGCGTCGCCTCATTACTGCTTCGCACGCGGAATGTACGACGTCCAGTCAACGTACGAGTTGAGTGCCGTACATGCGCCGTACGGGGTAACATGTGATGCGCGCTGTGAACGATGTATGAGGAGGTGGTGGTAGGGGGCACCGTGGCCATAGTCGGGTTGTGTGTTTAGGAGGGGGAAGGTTGGAAGAGTGTACGAACCCCGTACGAATGTACGGAAGTGGTTACGTTGCTTAATGATTCACCCCTCGACGTTCTCCCTCGAGGCACATCGTCTCGCCACCCCCAGGGCTCTTCACCCAACATCCCGGTCGCCCCTCTTACCCCCTAGCGTCCACTGCCGTACTATTGCTGCTTGTGTTGTACGGCAACTGCCAGTGTTGTACGACCGATTTGATACACATCAAAGAGTGTTTTGTAGGGGTTCTCTTTGTTTGTCTTCTTGTCCTGTTCTCTCTTCCGCGCCCTCTCTTCAGCGTGGCGCGCGTTAACCCCCTTTCCCCCGCCGCCGTTCCTTTCCCCTTTCTTTCTTCCTCTTCCAATGCCCCTTCATAAATTTTTTATTTTATTTTCTTGTTGTTTCTTCAGCACCGGCTTTCCGTTTGGCAAACGCGGCAAGCCCTTCGACTGGGACGTCTTCGGCAGCCCCATGGCGCATATGGCCGTACAGGCGCTAGTGTACGGCAGTATTGCCGTACTGTACGACGCGGGCGTGCTGACGGTCGCTTATGCATACGGGCAGGACGCGGCGCGGTGGATTTTGTCATTCGGGCGACGGCGGCGGCGGCGGCAGCAGCGGCGGGGCGGTCGGTTGTGGCGGTACGGCAATGGCGGTGCCGCCACCGCCGATGGACGCGACGGTACGGCATACGGCATACCCTCAACTTGTCTAGACAAATCCCTCAAAAAAGCTTTAAACATAGAAATAGATCCGAAGTTCATATCGCCAGCCCAGATTTCCTTTCTCTCCCGCTCTAAAGGGAGTTTGGGGTTTTAGAGTTTTAGGGTTTTAGGTTTTTTTTTAAGTTTTAGAATTGCGATGATCTGTAGGACAATGATCTATTAGGATGTCTCTTTTTCGGTTTTGTTTGGTCCCACGGGCCACTTCCAACCTATCGAATAGGGTTTCTAACTCGACCTGACCGATATGACCAACCCGTGGGTCTGTGTCGTACAGCGGCGCAACTGGTTGAATTGGAGGAGGGGCTGTCCGCGGCGGCGGCGGCGGGAGACACCGAAACCAAATGGGCTCAATGTGGCAGCGGCGGGTATGGTGATGGTGATGGCGATGATTTGGACGATGATGATGATGATGACGTGGCGGCTGAGAGGCAGGCGGTGGTTGAGGGCCGCAGGAACAACTGCCCGGTTAGTTGTGTGTGTGTGTGTATTTGGGGGGGAGGGCCCGGCTTAGTACGAATTCAGTTGGTGGGCTGCCCATGTGGGATCCGTTATTAGCTGATGCGATAAACATACGCGCATTTCTTAGTACCGCGTTTTATGTTCGGTTTCAATTTTCGCAAATTTAATTATTTAAAACATATCATAACTCCCAACCATGATTTTAATTTTTTTGTTTTATATTCTATTTTTATTTTTTTGTAAAATCTCCTAATTTCCGCTCTCGTAATCGTCGACCATCTTGACCACCTATTCACATCTCTCTCTTTCTGTTCCCCGCCGCTGCCGGTGTCACTCAGCGGTCGGCCCCTCGATCCCCTCTAAATGCGCAACCATTCGGTCGCATGTCGCAGGTTCTGTTGGCCGGTGTACGGAAGAGCTACAGCCAGGGTTGGTCCCGACCGGCAGTAGCAGCAGTTCGCGGATTGTGGGTGGGGGTGCCGGCGGGGGAGTGTTTTGGACTGTTGGGGGCAAATGGAGCAGGTGCGTGCGTGTGTGTGTGTGTGTTTTGGGGGGCCCGGGGGAAACTGAGTGGTGATCGCGGGGGAAGATGGAAACAGGCGTGTGTGTTTTGATTTTCAAGGATTATCCGCACTAGAGTATATCAACCCCCTGGAGTAATTCCCCCCTGGAGTAACAGAGCTCATTAGGGCCGGGATGCCCCGGGGGGGGGGTGATACTCCTGAAGGCGGGTTTTTGATGTGTGTGGGGGGAGGGGAGGGGAGAAAGCGGTAGGTAGGTGTGGGTAGTGAGTGAGTGCTGATGGCTCCTCTTCTGCCTGGCTTTGCGGGAAGAGAGGAAGGAAGGGTGGGGGATACTAATGCAGAAAGCGGTGTATAGATACATATATATTTGTATGTGTTTATGTATGTGTATTTGTATGTGTAGTATATAGGTACTTGAAGGTATATTAAAAAGTTTTTTATTTAGTCAAGCATCATGCACCGTACGACAGTCTGGAGACGGCTTTCAGATCTTTAAAGCAAAAAAGTCTTTCAAACACAAAAAATGAAATGAAATGAAGAATATGAAAATAAAGAACATGGGATCTCAACCGAACCCTACTAACGGTCACAACTAAGAACATCTCCCCTCCTGAGCTTCTCTTCAGCTCCGTCTCAGGTTTGTGTCGTACATCTCCACGCGCCCTCCCTAGAGACGTACACACACGTTTCCTCCCCCCACCCCCCTCCTCCCCCGCACATCTAAGAACCAACCCTATCTTTCTTCTTGCTGATGAATCGTACGGCACTTTGGTTTTCCCGCCGCCAACTCCGTAACAGGCAAGACTACCACCTTCAGGATGTTGACCGGGGAGGTGATGCCCGACGCGGGAGACGCGCGCGTGGCGGGTTTTAGTGTACGGAAGCAGTTGGCAGCGGCGCGGCGGCAGCTCGGGTGGGTGACAGACACCCCCCGTGTGTGTGTGTATGTGAGTGGAGGGGGGGTCCAAGTTGGGGTTTGAGGGTCCCCCCCGGGAGGAGGGGAAAAGAGGATTGGAGTGAACCGCAATGCCGTTCGTACATACACACACGCACAATGTTCACGCAGCTCGGCCTGCTGGCAGTGGCGTTCTTTTGCGTCTGTCGCGGTATGTTTATATATGCTTGCGCATGCATTGCCGTACACTGCCGTACATAGGTACTGTCCCCAGTTCGAGGCGCTTCCGGGAGCCATGACGGGTCGGGAGGTGGCGGCCATGTACGCCAGGTACGTGTACGGCATAAGTTCTTAAAACCTGGTGTGTCGTACGGATGCAACATATAAAACACACTGCCCTACACTGTGTTTGGGTTATGCGTTCAGCACCCGCCTGGGCCATTGGTCGGATCCCCTGTTCAAATTAAGGTGGCTGCTGCACGTACACGTACAGACGTACATGTACATCTTGTACAGGAACGTGCATATGTTCTACTTGTGCGATTACGCAGGTTGCGAGGGGTTCCGGAGCCGTACGTCGCCGGTCTGGTGTCGTACCTACTTAAGCGGCTTGGGCTCGAAGGTGCGGCGGACAGCCCTTGCGGTGGTTACAGGTATGGCGGTTGGCGGTTGGTAATCTGTTGACTGTTGGGTGGTCGTCCACGTGCGGCCCCGGCTTTGCTTGCTCGTCCTCTCCTCCCCAGTCCCCAGCCATATGCCTTTGCTTGCAATGTTGTACGATTGTGTACTCGGTACCGTACCTGGTGCCGTACGTGCAGTGGCGGCATGAAACGCAAGTTGGGTGTGGCGGTGGCGTTGGTGGGTGACCCGCGGGTCTGTGCGCTGGACGAGCCCTCCACGGGAATGGATCCGGGAGCCCGCCGGGGTCTGTGGACGTGTTTGCAGGTGCGTGTGCGTGTGGGCTGGGGGGGTTGCAGGGGTGGAGTGTAGGGAGGGAGGAGGTTAAGGAAGGGATCAAAAGGCGTGTGGGGGGATCGGGGGAGGGACGGGGGGGAGTAACTCCGGGAGTCCGTTGGAAAGCTGGAGGGGTTGCTTGTGTATGTGTGTATGTATGTACGTATGTTGGTATCGAGGGTACGGCGAATGAATACCCCCTTTAATACACACCTCCCCCTCCCCTTCCCCCTCCCCCCACTGTGGCCCCTCTTCACATGCAGAACGAGGTCATTCGAGCGGGTGAGTTCGTCTGTCTGTCTGTCTGTCTGTCTCAACCTCCCTCGCCTATCTTTCCCCCGCGCTCTGACGCGGTTCGGCTCGGCCGCCCGTCTTCGCAGCTTCGTGCCATCTGGTTCACCTCCTTCCTCCACATTCTGTCACATGCTTCACGTACGGCACGTACGGCAGAGCAAACGCAAACATCCCTCCTTTCCTTCACACGAGTTGCGGTTTCAATAGTGTCACATTTTTGTCAGTGAGTATTGTCAGGATTACGTCGTACATTTGTCATTGCTCAAATAACATCGAAAAGGTCTGCCGTACATGCCGTAACCCCAATTTTTGAGTCTTTAGGAGTTTTCAAATTCGAACCAAAAAACCAAATGCATAACAATTCACGGATTTCCTTGATTATGGGTGGATGAGGACTCGAGAGGTACATGGATGTGAATGAACCAGAAGCCATCCGAAATCAGAGACCGTACGACGACATCTTGACGACCACGAACTGCAAACGTAGGCCGTACTGTCGTACTGACGAGCCATTCCATGGAGGAGTGTGAGGCGCTGTGCACTTCACTGACGATTATGGTGGCGGGTCGGTTGAGGTGTTTGGGGACCGTACAGCACCTGAAGAGCCGCTTCGGAGGCGGGTAAGTCAGTGTGCCTGGAGTAATTGTGTAGTTCACGTCTATCTGTCTGTCTGTCTGTCTGTCTGCCTGGCGATATGTCTGTCTGTCTGTCGTGCCTCTTACAAGAGGGCTAAGGTGTTTTTAGGATTTTAGACAATTTGTAGACAAAGTCGACAAACCCTAAACCCCTAAAATGGCGAGGCTTTTCAACGTAAGGAGGTGCCGCCCTTTAAACCCCTCACTTGCAGTAGCCATCCGGTGCTGTACATTTTGTCGTATACGTACCCATATTTGCCGTACAGGTACATCCTGGAGATCAAGTTGCAGCCGGCAAGTGCCAGCAATCCGTCCCTGGCGAGTGGTCCGTCGCCGCCGCCGCCGCTGCCGCCGCTGCCGCAATCATCGCACTCCGTATCGCCAGGCGGCGGCGTCGCCGCCACCACCGCCACCGCCGCCACGGGGGCCGATGCGTCGTCGTCGTCGTCACCGGCGGCGGCGGCGGCGGCTGTGCTATCTGTCAATGACGCTGCCGCCAGGGCAGCGACGCTGACGGAGTGGGTGGCTTCGGTGTGCCCAGGTGCCGTACTGTCGTACATGGATCAGAACTGTTTCACCTTTTCCCTCCCGAGGTGGGTTTTCCCCCCGCCCCCCCTGTGTGTGAGCGAGTGTGTGTGTTTTGGATTTCCATCCACCCCGTCACCTACCCCCTATACAGCTGTTCGTCCATCCACCTGCCGTACAAAACGTTCATCCAAAGCAGTTACTCCTCCTCCTAATCCCCTCTTGCCTTTCTCCTGGTGTCCCTCCTTTTCCGTCGGACAGAGAGGCTGTAGCTGCCGCAGAAAACAGCGATAACCCAGATGCTGACGCTGGAGGCTCGCAGCCGCCGTACTCTCTGCCGCCGTCGCCGCCGTCGCCACGTCAGCAAGACCAGCAGCAGCAGCGGCAGCAGCAGCAGATGCAGCAGATGCAGCAGATGCAGCAGCAACAGCGACATTTAGACCTTGCCGCACTTTTCGAGGCGGTTGAATCCCAACGAGCAGCTCTTGGGGTGGCCGATTACTGCCTGACACAAACCACCCTGGAGCAACTCTTCGTATCAATGGCCGCGAGCAGCACGACGAACACAACCACCTCAACCACCTGAAGGCCGTAGAAACCTTGGGCAGCGCAGCTGCCGCCAGGGGCCGATGGTGACGCAGCAGGTGACGGCGGCGACGACGGCAGCCTTGGCGGCGGCGGTGGCGGTGGCGGTGGCGGCCGATGATGACGGATGCAAGTTGTGTATTGTTGGTGTTGGTGTAGGAGGGTATGAACAGCGGGAAGATGAGGCTGGGGTCCTGGCGCAAGCTATACCAGCGCAACGGCATTTAAATATCGCGACACGGGGTTCCTTTTATATCTAAGTGTCAGAGTCCCTCAGTATCTAAGTGAAGTTGAAGGGGGGGTCTCTGGCAAGCTGGATGAGAAAAGACGGCAGCTAGATGAGGCGCCCGGCCGCCTTCGGGACAGCTAGATGAGGCTCGGTGGCTGCCAGATGAGGGTTTGCAGGGTCCGAAATTTCACCTGGATGAAATGTATGGCATATCCCGATATGCAATTTGGGTGCTCTACATTTATCTAGTTACGCTTCCTTATGTACTGAGATGCGCGCGGGGCTTCTCGCAAAAAACGCTTACAGAGTCTCATACTCGCCCATGCTTCGGTATACACGATGGCATCAGTATAATACCAATCGCTATGCATGGGCCGACCCGCCCAACGAACGCCACGCCGCCGCTGATGGCCCCGGCGGAAACGCCCCTAAGCGCCAGGAAGCGCTCCTAAGCGTTTTTTTAAGAGGTTACAAGGTGGGCCGCTGGCCCAGGCTTCACATCGGTTCGGCAGGTTGTCAGTTCGGTGCATCGTGTCGTACTTAGCCACTGACTAGCACAAAAAAATGTTTCCACGATGCGTGCATCGCTCACAGACAAATGTTGTCTAGGTAACTGTATGGTACAGGTTTTCGACAAATTGTGTAACGGTATCTTGGGCTAAACAACAACAGTTTCGTCATCCATACGAGGCACATACACCAGGACGTCACACCGAGAATGTTCCCCATCCGCCCAACAACAGACGCAAACCGTTTAACGTCAGGGCCTACGTAAACCACAACGCTTTGCCGTGCGGGTTTTCTACACACGGCCCCTAGGGACAGACCTGAGTCCTGCACACTTGCGCCCCTATTACGTGTCCCCCGTACAAAGGACACACGTTCGCGCAGAAAACATAACGGCCATTTCAGCACTGCATCGAACCACGCATAGATAGCCCACCGCTGCTTTGAGGAGAAGCACTGCCTGCCTGATACGGCGGGCCTCATACTCCTCGACACAACGCCGAAAAAAACAGGCCCTGAAGGCTATCGCCAGAACGCAATCCAAACGGGGGGTTAATGTACAAAGCGACGGAGCCAATGCTGACACGCATTCGCGCTCTGATCAATGCTCGTACACACGCGTATACACACATTTTCTTCCAGTTGGTCAACACAGCAGTGCTATCTGATGACACGGTAGCTACCCACTGTGCGCCCGCAGGACGAATTCCCTACCTCCCTGTGACGCACCGATGCACTGAACACCATCTGAGTTGTCCTCCTCCGCAGGCACTCGAGTGCAACAGCACACACGCACATGCAAATACATACATCTACATGCCTTATCCTTTCCTGCAGGCCATTCAAATAGGATCGGAACGACAGGTCCGTTGTTCAACATTCCATGTTTGTCTATTGGAGGACTGCTGCCAATGTGTCTTCTGCTTAGGCAAGGCTGCCCACGAACTAGCGCGAGAAAAGGCATGTAGACATGTGAAGCAAAACAGTGCCTTGTCAGCATCTATAGGATTATTCGTTAGAAGGTGACTTTCATACACCGCATCACCACTAGTGGCCTTGCTGCTGCTGCAGCTGCCTCTTGAGGGCCTCAATCTCCCTCTCCGCCTTCTGCTCAATTTCCTTCTTCTCCCTCTCCGCCTTCTGCGCAATTTCCGTCTTCTCCCGCTCTGATGCCTCCAGCTTCTGCGCAATTTCCTTCTTCTCCCTCTCCGCCTTCTGCGCAATTTCCTTCTTCTCCCTCTCCGCCTTCTGCTCAATTTCCTTCTTCTCCCTCTCCGCCTTCTGCGCAATTTCCTTCAGTTCCGGGTCGTTCTTTTTCTTATACAGCTCTGTGATAAATGGCTCCGCCCACTTATTTGCCAGAGTTTGAAGCGTCTCATTGCCCAGCTTCGCCCGATGTGCAACCCGGGTGATGTCCACACCAGGGTACAGCACGCTGTGCATCCGGGCGAACACCTGCAGGATCAAGAGGTGTTTCAGGAATATCATCGAGCAAGGCTTAAAAGATACTAGAAGTATATTTTAGCGAACATGTTCTTCATCAATACTTCTTTAATCTATACTAACAAAAATTAATACCAAATTCATCAGCACACGTTCACAAAGTGCAGCTTCTGTCGTCTTTTGGACGCACTACAGCAAACAGCCGTTTTAAGGACCTGGGTTTAATTCCTGGGACATTGGCGGGAGCGCGAGATTTTGCCTAGTTGCTGCGATGTGGAGATGGGGGCACAGCTGATGGACCAAGATTCACGCACTGGACTGGTAAAAAAGGCGATTGCCGAACCCTCTGAAGATGTTCGGGTGACTGGGCGAGGAGGGATTCTAGAAGACAGAAACCTTGGACTTCCAGTTTTGTGTGGTGTGGTAATTGTGTATGATGCTCTATAGGGTTCATGTCGAGACCCTACTGTGTGCAATGGGCCCAGAAGCTTCCTACTCTGTCACAAATACAGTAAATTGTACCTCCTAGAGCCCCGAGGAAAACCTCCTAAACGGACAACAGCCTGCCACTCCCCCCTGTCTGCAAGATTATTGCCTCTCCAAATTTCGACCTTACCTTAGCCACCGGTCCGTAATCATCTGTACCAGGCCTTAACAGGAGGTTACAGGGAATGCGTTCACAATTGAAGAGGCGGAACTGGTGATTGCATGCCCGGAGTTCGCCCTCAGGCAGGGAAGGTTCTTGTTTGTCGGCCTCTCCGATCAGCTGCACAGACGCAAAATACCACTGTTTAGCATCCGTTAGCAGCACCGTCACTGGATCTTGCCCGCAGTTCAGTATTGCCAGCTCTATAGCTGTCGCCAAGGGCTGCCATATGTGGTTGAACACCACGTTACCCTTCAGCTCCACGACCATCACTGCCTTGCCACCTTTCGCCATAACAGACTTCAAACTGTAATCCAGTGATGTCTTTACTTCAGGGAATGTGCGGAGGACAACAAACTCCGAGGAGCCTGCGGCATTCCATCACGTGGGTAAAACAACATAAGATAAGCTTGTTAGCAGCCTGGTATGGACACCAGGACGTGAATCATGAAATGCCAGCAGCCAGAGGACTTCCTCCTAGCCTCTGCCTGACAGGGACAACAGGATGCCCAACGAAGGATTCAAAAATCCTCTATTCCATTAAACTCACAAAAATCTTAAGTACTAGCTCACTGAGTATAAGGATAGGATTGACAGGAGAGCACCCTGTGATAAGAGGGTTTGGTGCGCTTTGCACGCCAGAAAGCCCCAAGCCTGGTGATGTGGACTGGGGCCCTAATTTGATTAACCGCGAGTAACAGAACGGTGATTCCAGCCGACGATGTATATGAAGAGGCCTCAGACGAGGAAGACGAGGATCAGCAAGAGGGCGGGCCAAGTGCTACCGGAACTATGCAGCATGGTGAGTGGCGCCTGCGCGCATGGCATTTACATACAGGGATGTTGTGCATTGGCTAGGGTGTGTTCAGGAGTATATGCCAAGTACTTACAACCCGTCCGGGCCTGCAAAGCCCACACAAGACAGTCAAGTTAGCGTTTGAGGAGAGAATCCCTACGCGTGATGAAGCCAGGGCAAATGGTGAGTTGTACACCAGCATCCTTTATAAGTGCAAGAAGTCTATATGCGGAGGTTGCCACCAGAGCGTTTTTAGTTTTCTAGCAGTAAATTGCAAGTTACAAGCTCTTCATTGGGGTGTCTGTAGCAGCTGGGGTGGCACGAGTAATTGTTTTCATTTTGCTGCCGAGCAATAGGACATTGTCGTCCCTTTACCTGGTGTCTACGCGTCTGAGATCCGTGCTTGAAACCTCCTATGAATAAAATGACTCACAGCTAGGTGGTGCTTCAGCCAAAGTCAGGGTTTCTCCATTAGTCATGGAACGCCAAAGCCACGGCAAGATAGCCCCAATGTGA